CCGTCAGTGGCTTCCTCCCCGGCATCTGATCGTGCCAGGGAGCAACGGCACGGCGGCTCAGGGGATCTGTGTGATCCCGCCGCCGCGTGTCTTTTTTGGTGCGGCTCTGAATAGCCACACTTTGGCCGTGTTTTTTCCTGCCGTGTGGCAGGGGCCTAAGTTTATCATTTATGGTTCATTTTAATTTTAAGTGCTTTTTACTTTATATCAGATTATACGTGTTTGTTTTCTTTATTTAGGAATTGCACCCCTCACCCATGGGATTCATCTTCCACCCCAAATTTCTAGTTTATAAGAATATGAGTAGATCCCTTCCACATCAGATCAATGTAAGTTCAGCACCCAGCTTCCTGCAGTGGCCTACGGGATACTCTCTGCTAAAGCCCCCCATGTAGCATTGCCTCCAAACATGGAAGTTTCATTTAGTCATCATGACTAATAGTTATTGATGGACCTATCCTTCATGACTTTATCAGATCTCCTTTAAAGCCATTTATACTAGCAGCCCTCACTGTACACCATGGCAGTAAGTTCTACAGTTTAATTTTCTTTAACTGACTTGAGTCTAAGAACATAAGAGAAGCCAATGTTGGATCAGGCCAATGGCCCATCTAGTCCAACACTCTGTCACACAGTGGCCAAAAATACTAGGTGCCACCAGGAGGTCCAGCAGTGGGTCCAGGATACTAGAAGCCCTGCCAATGTTGCCCCCCCCCAAGCACCAAGAATTACAGAGCATCACTTGCCCCAGAGTCCCTATCTATACCTTGTGGCTAATAGCCACTGATGGACCTCTGCTCCATATGCTTATCTAATTCCCTCTTGAAGCTGTCCATGCTTGTAGCTGCCGCCACCTCCTGAGGCAGTGAATTCCATGTGTTAATCACTCTTTGGGTGAAGAAGTACTTCCTTTTATCCGTTCTAACCCGACCACTCAGCAATTTCATTGAGTGCCCACGAGTTCTTGTATTGTGAGAAATGGAGAAAAGTACTTCTTTCTCTACCTGCTCTATCCCATGCATAATCTTATAAACCTCGATCATATCACCCTTCAGCCGTTGTTTCTCCAAGCTAAAGAGCCCCAAGTGTTTTAACCTTTCTTCATAGGGAAAGTGTTCCAACCCTTTTATCATTCTAGTTGCCCTTTTCTGCCCTTTTTCCAGTGCTATAATGTCCTTTTTGAGATGTGGTGACCAGAACTATACATAGTACTCCAAACGAGGTCACACCATTGATTTATACAGGGGCATTATGATACTGGCTGATTTGTTTTCAGTTCCCTTCCTAATAATCCCCAGCATTGCATTGACCTTTTTATTCCAATCGAACAGTGTCTCGACATTTTCATTGAGATCTACTACGACTCCAAGATCTCTCTCTTGGTCAGTCTCTGCCAGTTTGGACCCCATCAATGTGTATTTATATTTAGGGTTTTTGGCTCCAATGTACATCACTTTGCACTTGGCCACATTGAACCCCATTTGCCACGTTGACACTCACTTGCCCATCCTTGACAGATCCCTTTGGAGTGCCTCACAATCCTCCCTGGTTCTCACCACCCTTAACAACTTCATGTCATTTGCAAATCCAGCCACTTCACTGCTTACTCCCATCTCCAAATCATTAATAAACAGTTAAAAAGCATCGGACCCAGTACTGATCCCTGCGGTACCCCACTGCTTACCACCCTCCACTGGGATAATTGCACATTTATACTCACTCTCTGTTTCCTATTAATTAGCCAGGTTTTGATCCACAAAAGGACTTGTCCTTGTCTCCTGTGACCATTGAGCTTACTTAGGAGCCTTTGATGAGGAACTACCAACTACCCTCCCTGTCAAGGGATGGTACCTTGGGCAAAAGGATACCCGTTCACCAGCTGAAGAAGAGGTCCCTTCTGAGGACGCATTCCCCTTATCTGCAGCATGGTGCCCTGTTTCCCCTCAATTCTCATGCTCCCTGACAGCAGCAGGGCTGCCATATTCAGAGTGAGACATATATAACAAGTCCCTGAGAGTATTCTCCATGCACCTTTCTCTGCTTTTCCAGATCTGCCACCTTGGCCTCAAGAAGCTAACTCATTCCCTGAGAACCAGGAGCTTCTTGCACCAATGACTTCTGTCCAATAGGCAGATAGTCATACATGTGACACTCCGTGCAAAACACGGGATAGCCCCCAACCCCCTGCTGACATTTTGGCTTCATAATTGCTTTTAAATTAATAATTATATATAATCCCCCTTTTAAAACCCTTTGTATTTATGTGGTTCTCCTTGTAGGAGTCTACTTACCGTACTGGGAACCCAAGGAGACTAGGGCCCTGGCTTTCTGGCTCTTCCTGGGCTACTTACAGAGTCCCTAGTCTAAGAGTCCCTAGGCTAAAAGTCACAGGCCAGGAGCTTCTGGCAAGGTGCTGCCTTAAATAGAAGCTTCCCCCAGCAGAGGGTGTGGCCAGCAGCTATTCAAGTTCACCCAGGCACTCAATTACAGTCAAACAATGACCCTTTCACACCCTATCTCAAGCAGCCAGGACTCTGCAACAACTCACAACTCACCCACACACTCCCCTCTCAGCTAAATCACCTCAGCTGAAAGTAAAAAACAAAACAAAACCCACTCACCCATCTACCAGCTCTATCTCCTGCTCCTTCTCAGAGCTGAGCTGGGTCAGCTCTGCTTCTGGCAAAAGTCTACTGCCCAACTTTTTCATTCAGTAATCCCAAGTTCTAATATCTTGAAGAAAAGAGGGGGAACTCCTCTCTTCACTTTCTCCACAACTTAAAGAATTGTTTAATTCTATATCATAAACCCTTTTAGACATTTTCCCCCTGAACTGAAAAGTTCCAAACGTGTTACGAAGGTGCTTGATTATTCTGATTGCCCTTTTCTGCTCCTTCTCCAGCTCTATGACATGGTTTTTGAAGAGGCATGATCAGAAATATATACATTATTCCAAAGGCAGCTGCACCATAAAGTATTATGATAGTAACAATTAATTTTTAATCCCTTTCCGAAGAAATCTAGCATAGAATTTGCTCTTTTCATTGCTGCTACACATTAGGTATACATTTTCATTGAGCCATCCACTTTAACCTAAAGTTGTCTTTCCTGATCAATCATTACCAGTTCAGATGGTGCTACTGTACATGAAAACTTGAGGGGGGGGTCCACTTTTTTTTTTACCCAATATGTATCACTTCACATTTATTTAAACTGAGCTTCATTTGCACTGTGCTGCCCACTTATCCAATTTGGAGAAATCCTTTTAAAACTCTTTACAATACACTTGGATTTTGTCCATCCTGAATAGTTTGGTACCATCTACAAAATTTGCCACTTCATTGCTCATCCTGAATCTAGATCAATTCCGAACAAATGGCACCAGTCCTAACACAGCTCCCTGGAAAACCCCACTGCTAGTTGTTATCCATTGCATGAACTGTGAATTTACTGCTTCTTTCTGCTTCCTGTTGTGTAATCAGTTACTAACTCATGAGGAAACCTGTTCTCTTACTCCATGTCTGTTAAGAGGCCTTCTAGTTAGGGGACTCTGTCCTAATCTTTTTGAACTTTCAAGTGTATTAGCTCTCTGTCTACCACATCATCTTGACCCCATGCTTGTTAACACTGTCAAAGAACTCCAGAGGATTGGTGGGGAAGCCTGACCTAAGCTACCAGCAGTTTTGTAAGGGGATTTGTATTTGTCAAATGATGCCACTGCTTGGTGTTTTCACATGAAGTTACAGATGTTAAGAAATCCTGAATCAGCAGTTCTCTCACACACAGAGACAGAAGATCAGATCATTCTGTGCTCTCTCTTACATCATATCTGGTTTGGTGAGTGAGCATCATCAAATTCCCCCCCCCCAAGTTTGTCTGCAAGGCTGGTGTGCTGCCTATAGAAAATGTGGGGAAGTAGAATGATCATCACCCCTAGATGCTTTTGGAAAGCTACACGTTTACAAGCTCTTCATATTTCCAAGGATATTCCAGTTTTTCATAAGCCCTTTTAAGTCTGCCAGCCTTAAACCACACAACACAGTAGAATGTGGTTGCAGTAGTGCTGCTTGGCAATAGGTTTCTTTCTGAAAATTGTAAAGAAAGTGAAGACTGCCACACTATGTTTGTGTATATTAATCACAATTTATTAGTCAAAAAATCATTATAATCAAACACATTGCAAAAATTAATATGTAAATGATAGAAAGAAGTCTACAGTAGTCTATAAAGTCACCGATCCCAAAAGAATATAAAGTAGTGCATCAGGCTTATTTTGGGGGAGTTTTTAAAAAAGTTTTTTCCCCCATTGGTAAACACATTTATTTGATAATACACTCCAAGGCTGCACCAGGAGTTGGACTGTGGAAATCCTTGATCAGGTTCAAATCCTTGATCAACCATGACACACCACAAATGACCTTGGCATAGCCATGATCCATATACATAGGGTTGTTATGAGGATGGAACAGGATAACCTTATGCTATCCTGAGGTACTTGAAAGAAAGAGGAAAACAGATAAGAGTAAAGTAGTTTCCATATATGCTTAATTAACTATTTCTTTGCTTTAGTGAAAAAAATAATCCGTTTATCAAACTCTATTCTCATTAAGACTCCTGTATTAAAGCTGTTCATTTATAGACTGTCATAACCCAAACTAAACTTTTCCAGTTATAGTGATGTCACTGAATTAACTGAATTAATGGAATTGGTTTAAAATGTGTCAGCATTTCATGATTATAATAACTTACAGGATTTTCTTACAAATTTTTATCATTTGATTTAGATTTGTTTGAAAATAAGCTCTTTAATCTTAAAGCAATATTTCAACATCAGAAGTCTTATTATTTAATTAATGATAGAATTGTTATATGAAAATATTAGGCATTCTCAAAGCTCATTGATTTTTTTTGTTTTCAATCATTCCCATATGTTTGGAAGTGCCATTCAATTCATTCCCATATGTTTGGAAGTGCCCATGACTGGGTTGCTTTTCAGTTCCTTAGGTTTTATTGTTGCTGGGAGCTTGAGCAGAAATGGACTCTGAATTAAGCAGAAAGGTGCTATATGCCATCTCAGCTTCCTCTTTAGAACCCTAAAAGAATGAACAGAAATCCCAGTTAGAAGTGTACATTCATATTAATTTCAGATCCAGATTTTGGGGAGGCTACTAGTTCTTACTGTATCCTTACTGGTTTAAAACTCTGTTTCTTTTCTTTCAGATTTCAGCATTTGGGACAATTTCTTTTCATTCTCTGCTAATTTCCCACCAGAGGCAGCAGGAGGAGTGGGCAGGGAGGGAATGAAAGCTGACTCTAGCAAACAACTGTTGATTAGCTTCTCTCTCCCCTTTAAATTTTAAAGAGCCAGAGGACAGGTCCGCCCCGAGATTATAATGGCCCTCTAAAATTTAAAGGGAAGAGATGTGCTAACTAACAGCTGATAGTCAGGTAGACCTGGTCTCTGGAGGCCAGGACTACTTCCCATGTCCTTCCCCCATGGCCCTTTAAATTTTAAAAATGAAAGGACCAAACTGAGCCAAGACTCCCCTGGCCACCATAATCCCCACTAGCAGTCCAAGGCCAGGTCTACCTCTCATAAAATTAATGATCAGTAAACCTAGCAGAGGTGCACTACTTAACAAGGAGTTGAGAAGAAAAAGGTAATGTATAAGAAGTGCCAGAAGGTATTAAGGAGAACTTTGTTATGCATGTTCTGTAGCTTTGATTACGTATTGCGTTCCTGCTTCCCTTTTTAACTAATCTATAGTTTGTTCTTACTCTTTTTGTTGTCTTCGGTGCTTCTTTGGGACTCCCAGTGGTAATTACATATTCTGTAAAGAATGAGATGTTAAGGGCTTTAGCTTTAAAAGAATGAAATATTCCATTTGTTCATCAAGTCTTACACAGGACCACAAAATTTAATTTATTAAACTTTTGCTGAGGAACCATTCCAATTCACAGTAACTATCTGTTGCTGCTTCCATACATTTAAAGAGGAGGTTAATCTGCAAAGATCAACAGGTGATGATGCTTCTCAATTCTATGGAAAACTACACCTACAGATTTCTACTGTGTCAGCAGACCCAGCTGCTCTTAAAGCCTAGGATTTACCAGGACTGGATTCACACATTGCTGGATATTGCACTATGGTTTCCCTGTAGTAACCATTCATAAGTATTTTTTCCTGGTTCTAAATAGTGGGTTCCATGGATGAGCAGGCTTGAGTCCAGTGATCAGCTCAACTTTATTTGTGATTTCAGCAAGAGCAAGACAAGACCCCAGAGCCTCAGCTCTGTTAAATAGCATGTAATTGCCACACCCAAACACACCCACTCCCAATTATAGGTTATTTACACAATATTACTACTTGATTGGTTACTTCCAGAGTCCTGGTAGGCTATTATTCTTGTGCTCCAAGCTCAGCCAGTCTCTGGTGTGACATATCTGGAATGGTTCAGTCCCAATACATAACACCAATACATAACAAGACAATCCAGTTGTGAATGACTGCTACTGTGTAGTGCTAGTACAATATCCAGCATTGTATGAGGCAGCCCCAGGATTGTTTTTTTTTCTGAATAGCTGATAGCCCTATTCAGTGGGTAGTCACCCTACTCATAGTGTATTCTTCCAAAATCTCAAGTCATACAAAAGGCAATGGCTGTTTTTCATTTTATCACTATAAAAGCTGTTATGCCTCCATTATACTTTATCACTCATAGCCCCTCACTTGGGTGAGTCTGTCAAACATACTGAGGTGCAGAATAGGGATGCCAGGATTCCTGCTATAGCAGGAGGTTTCCTGAGATTCCCTACTGCCTACCTGCTCCTCAGGCACCAATGGGAGAAAATGGGGGTGGGGGGAGAATGAAATGCATGTTGGCATAGAGTTTTTGTGAAATGCTAGAGTGTCTCCATGTCACTTCCTGTTTTTATCAGAGGTGACACACAAACACCAGTGCCATGCCAGTGCACCAGGCCCATCCCCAATTCCTCCCAGGGGTTTGGCACTTCAGCTTGGCATCCACAGTCCAGGAACTGAAACAAATTTTATACATAGTGTTTAAAAGATATTACCGTTCATCTCCCCTAGTTGGGTCTCATGAGATTCTTCCATGCATGAATTGTCCTTTGCTCCATACTGGCTTGCATTCTCAAAGTCTGTCATGCTGATATTTGTCCTGTAGCTGGCAACTGAGACTCGATCTATTTGAGAGAAACGTTCAGTAAAGAAAGCTTCCCCTCCCCACCTAATTACCATATTCAAATACATTCTGTAATCATGGTAACTTTTCTGAAATTCTAGGATGTAGGCTAAATATATTATACAAACCAGACAAATAAAGAAGATAAAAACTGAAAAGTGATATTTAAAATGAAAGGAACATTTCAGAAAGAATGGGGAAGTATAATAGAAAGATAGGCACAAACTATACAAACTGTTGGAGTGTTCTGGTGGTATATACAAACTGTTTTAGGAGGATGTGCTAAAAGAAGGGCATTTCCTGCCAGGAGAGGATGCACTGAGCAAAGGAGGCTCCTTCACCTTCTCCTCCTTTGATTGGAGTTTGGTTAGTTGTCACTAAAGAGGGAATCAAATACTTGGGGCATCAGATTAAGGAAGAGCCAGTTTGGTGTAGTGGTTAGGAGCACAGACTCTAATCTGGGAGAAGTGGGTTTGATTCCCCATTCCTCCACATGCAGCTGCTGGTATGACCTTGGGTCAGTCATAAATTCTTTCAGAGCTGTTCTCTCAAGGGCAGTGCTCAAGAGAGCTCTCTCAGCCCCACCTACCTCAGAGGGTGTCTGTTGTGAGGAAGGGAAAGGAGATTGTAAACTGCTCTGAGACTCCTTCAGGTAGTAAAGGTTAGGATATAAATCCAATCTTTTCTTATTTCTTCCCTTCCACAGGCAACCCTTATTTCTTCCCTTCCACAGGCAACCCTTACCAACTCAGGCTTCTCCTCATCCACTTTCAGGCTGCTAGGCCTGAAACAGACCTATGTAGCTGTGCAGGTGCTTCAGCTGACAAGAATCTGGGTCTTCCAGACCTCACCACAGAAGCTGGCTGCTAAAGAAAGCTCCTTTAAACAGCTGACCCATGCTTTTGTTTGTTTGTTTATTTGTTTGTTTAAACCCCTGCTTTCTCCTCCCCAGGAAAGCAACCAATGATCAGAAACAGCTGAACCTGCTCCTGCAGCTCAGCAGTTTAAAGGGGCTTTCTTGGAAAGCACTGGCAAACTGTGCCACCTGGCTCAGCTGTTTAAGGGGGCTTTCTTGGGCAGCTAGCCCCAGGGGCTGGCTACCCAAAAAAACCCCTTTAAACAGCTAAGCCAGGTGGAACAGGCTGCCCCACAACTCAGCTGTTTCCAGTTTAAACTGCTGAACCATGGGGCTTCTGCTGCTCATTTGTTTAGATTGGAAATAAGCTGAGCCATGGCGCAGCCTGCTCCCATGGCTCAGCTGTTTAGAGCCCCAAACAACTGAGCTGTTTCGGGCATGAACCTCACCAACCTGGTTTGGTTCTTATGCAAGCTGACTGGGTTCATGGGATTCGTGGTTAGTTCATAGTTCACCCACCAACCACAAACTGAACCACATTTTTGTGGTTCTTGCCCATCCCTAATCAGAACCATTGCTACCTATTCTTCAGAGTGAGCTGTAAGACAAGAGAGAAAGCATGCAAGCCCCCAATTTTGGGTTGTACCAACGGAAGTATAGTGTCCAGATCAAACAAAGTGATGGTACCACTTTACTCTGCTCTGGTTGGACCTCACCTATAGTATTGTGTTCAGTTTTGGGAACTACAATTTAAGAAGGATATAGACAAGCTGGAACATGTCCAGAGGAGAGCAACAAAGATGGTGAGAGGTCTGGAGACCAAGTCCTATGAGGAAAGGTTGAAGGAGCTGGGTATG